AGAGAGAGAGAGAGAGAGAGAGAGAGAGAGAGAGAGAGAGAGAGAGAGAGAGAGAGAGAGAGAGATGGAAAGGGAGAGATAAAACGCAGACCCGCTTCAAATATAAAAAAGGGAAGTGGTCTATCCACTTCTTCGGATCCGTTGCAAAATCAAACATGACGAAATTGTCCGTCCCGGCGCAGGACAGCAGCCTGCGGCAAATCCGAAAATGAGTTTGGATACACATGTCGCAACACAAGCTCTATAAAAAGTTATTGGAGCCTAAAAAAAAAAAAAAAAAAAAAAAATTCGCCAGAATAAACGAAGGACACACGTCGACAGACGTGAATTGAAACGGGGGACTCATCTACCCGTCCGGACGACCAGACACTACCAATGCCGTCATAACGATGGACTCGACCACGCATACAAGAGCAGTCACAGCGGCTAACGCTCGCGGATGACCTTCGCTATCTCAAGCAGAGCGTGACACATCAGTTTGCTAACTTCATCGGACGCAGCGTAGTGTTTCTTTTACACCTCAACCTCCGCTTCCAATGCCTCGCACTGTCGGATTTGGATTGAACATTGCCGTTTGCTGTTGCTTTCCATCGTGGACGCCACCAGAGCCCCGTGCTTCTCCATGCATTGCGACAGAGCGTCGAAAGTTTACTGCCTCGTGCTCTTCCTCTTGCCGAAGCCAGCAGGGCCTCCCGTTGTCTGAGAAGAACCTCTCGTCGACCCGTCGTCGTCGTCGTCCAGCCCTACAGCAGCGTCCCCATCCCCGACAGACTCCGGATCACCAGAATTCGCCGACGGCAGACGCACCCCCCCCGGAGCACCAGTGTCTGCGACGTTCTTGGGGTTAATGGTGTGGCTCTTGGAAGTCGACCCCAAAATCTTATCGTAAACCGCACGATCCATGTTGAAACTGAAGCCCTTCGACAACCGCTCCTTCCCTGTGAACTGGAAGAAGTCCTATTTCCCGGACAAGCCTTGGAAGTGGTGCACCTTCTTGAACTGCTGCATCAAATTGTCCCACTTCTTCCCGCACCGTTCTGCCTCCCTCTCCACGCCCACCTTCTTCAGCCTTTGCTCCACATCCAACCACTTCCATTCTCGCGGCTTCATACGAACGTAAGCGGTGCCCATTCCATGCAGATGCGCGTCCTGGTCACGTTTAGCCCGTATCAGGGCCACCATGTCGTCGACGGACCAAAAATAACGACCGCCTTCTGCATCGCCGTCAGCTTCGACGTCGCTCCCCTTCCCCATCACCTTCTTCCCCCGCCGACCGTTGCGAACAGACGCCTTCGCCCTCCCACCCTTCCCCCCCATGCTGCTTTGCTTGGATGGCGACACTTGACCTGCGTTGTCCTCCCCACCCCCGCAGTCGTCGTCGTTCAAGTCTTGATCATTGCCGCCGACATCAGGTGCGTCGCCGTCGTTTTTGTCGTCCACCACTCGCAGTTGCTGCACGCCCCGTGTTATGGATTCTTGCCGTCACGGATGGACCATCCGTCGCTGTTCTTCCCACACCTCCCTCCCGTCGCGTCCGTCACCTCTTTCCTGGATCCCGCAATCATGCTCCCCGCATTCCCCCCGATTGCGAGCTCAACTCGAATTGCCGGACAGGGGAGACGGGGACAACATCCACGACGGGCGAGGCGAGGCACCCCTTGAAGCAGACGGCGCCCTGTATTGCTGCGTACGAGGATCCCTGTTGTTCCCCGACGCCACGCGGACCGACGACGCTGGAGACTTCGACGGTCGTGCAACAGCCGTCACCTGACCGCCATCGTCATCGGGACGGTTGTCGACTAGCACTGTCCGCATCGAAGTCGACGACCTCCCACTGCACAGACCGAACGTGAGATTCACACCTCCATCTCCTTCGTCGCCGCTCAGGCCCTGCTGGAGGAGCTGGGTGTATGACTGCCCGTAACTGGGCTCGCGGCTTCCACAACGCTCTGTGGCCGTCCACTCCTGCGTAGACCCGCTTCCCAGCGGCACGGCACGTGAACGTCTGTCGTCCTCCTCCTCGTCCGATGTGTCCGGCAAAGGCTGCAAGTGCGGTGGCAGGTGCGTGTTCTCCGACCGCTCCACCGCCCTTGAACCTCTAGACGGGCTCTGCCCGGCCCGCTGGCCACCACCCTCACCCCCTGCAGACCTGCAAACCGCCTGCCGCCCATCCATACTGACGTCCTTCTTTGCACACCGTCGCCTGCGCCCACGTCGTGGAACGATGCCGACGACACAGACGTGGAAGAGCACTACGAGGACAAGCAGGAAGACGACCAGCACCAGCAGTGGCAGCCTCCGAAAGACGTCGGCCATGAAACGCACGTGGACGACCCGAGCACCTGCAAGACACCTGTGGACGTACAGGAAACGGTGACGGACACTGCCGAAAACGGCCGATCGCAGCTAACGACAAACGGTGGATAACGGAAGCTCCATCGCGGAAGACACAATGCGATCGGGAAAGCGGGGGCGGCCTGAAGTATTCGAATCTGCCGACCGATGGCCGCTTTCCCACCACGGTCGAAGGGCGGCAACGCAAGGCAGCCCCTTTCCGACGTCGCGAAGGACGGCAGGCCGCCGAAGGGACCGTTGGCGGAGTATTCCATGACGCCGACGGTTGCCAACCGAAGATGTCCGTCCACGGGCCGCCATGAACAGCAATTGACCAGCCGCGTCGAAAATTGTCGTCGAGAGAGCTACCGTCGACACTCCGATTCTTCCGGACGCTCGACCTCCAAGGGACCTCGGGAGGTCCCTTGGGGAAAGCGTCGAAATAGCTGTAGCCCGAGGAATCCCGGATGAAACCCCGAGGAAATGTTTTCACATTTTTTTTTCGTTTTGTTCCCCGAGGATAGGTGGAACGATGATTTCCTCGGGGATTTTACGCGCCCGAGGAGTGTCGAACGAGCCCCTCTCTCTCTCTCTCTCTCTCTCTCTCTCTCTCCTCTCTGCCTCTCTCTCTCTCCCTCCCTCTCTCTCCTCTCTCTCTCTCCTCTGTCTCTCTCTGCGGGTTAGTTTCTGTGAAACATTGGAATGAATCTACCCACGGTTGCAGGAAAATTCATGCCAATTTTTCATTGAGAAACTAAAGCTCGGGAGGGGGCGCAAATCTCTCTCCCTCTCCCTCCCTCCCTGCGCATTAGTTTCTGTGAAAAGTTGGAATGAATCTATTCATGTCAATTTTGCACACACACACACACACACACACACACACACACACACACACAGAGAGAGAGAGAGAGAGAGAGAGAGAGAGAGAGAGAGAGAGAGAGAGA